TACCAGGTAAAACGTTTAGAATGTTAATTATGGCGGTAATGGGGTCGGGGTTGTTTATCCTGTATCTCTCACGTCCAGGTACACACACACACACACACACACACACACACACACACACACACACACACACAACACACACACACACACACACACACCTGAGGCAGGACAGGTATGCAAGTGTCCCAGTTTGACTCTCAGTACCAAAGCAAATGGTGACACTGTGAACTGGCCCTCTTGTGGCACTGTAAACTGGCCTTCGTGTGGCACTGTAAACGCCCTCGTGTGGCATCCGGTGCCAGACATTGCATGAGGTCGACCTCATTTTGTGTGTCGTAAAAGCGAAGTATTTACCAGTGGGTGAGAAACCTATTTAGTACGTATGAGTGATTACCAACAGTCTGATTGAGCACATTGTTGAGCTTAGTGGAGGGTGGATCAAGTCTCCACCACTTCTTGTGTTGAGTGATCCACACTGAAGGTGGATCAAGTCTCCACCACTTCTTGTGTTGAGTGATCCACACTGAAGGTGGATCAAGTCTCCACCACTTCTTGTGTTGAGTGATCCACACTGAAGGTGGATCAAGTCTCCACCACTTCTTGTGTTGAGTGATCCACACTGAAGGTGGATCAAGTCTCCACCACTCCTTGTGTTGAGTGATCCACACTGAAGGTGGATCAAGTCTCCACCACTTCTTGTGTTGAGTGATCCACACTGAAGGTGGATCAAGTCTCCACCACTCCTTGTGTTGAGTGATCCACACTGAAGGTGGATCAAGTCTCCACCATTCCTTGTGTTGAGTGATCCACACTGAAGGTGGATCAAGTCTCCACCACTTCTTGTGTTGAGTGATCCACACTGAAGGTGGATCAAGTCTCCACCACTCCTTGTGTTGAGTGATCCACACTGAAGGTGGATCAAGTCTCCACCACTCCTTGTGTTGAGTGATCCACACTGAAGGTGGATCAAGTCTCCACCACTCCTTGTGTTGAGTGATCCACACTGAAGGTGGATCAAGTCTCCACCACTCCTTGTGTTGAGTGATCCACACTGAAGGTGGATCAAGTCTCCACCACTCCTTGTGTTGAGTGATCCACACTGAAGGTGGATCAAGTCTCC